AGTACAGTGTTGTTATTGATCACTACCACTCGTTCTGTGGGTACAATAATATATATGTTGCCGCCAGATGAGCATCCAGTGCTTATATCTCGGTAAATACTGGTCCTAAAATTTATTTTTTTTGATCTTATAACACAGAAAATTGCCCTCTTTAATTCAAAAAAAGATTTTTTTTTTTCAAAATATTTGGAGCTCTGCGCATGTGAACGTAGATCTATGTTTGGACAGTTTAAGGATTAAAAGGGGATCAAATAACAATATATACAGGTTGGCCATCACTAATCCAGCAGTCAGTAATCCGGTTCCATCAGTAATCTGGCACTAATTCCGTCTAGCATAATTTCAGATTTCCGTGGATGCCACACCAACCTGCTGGTACTGTTTGGTGGGGCTACTTGCTGCATAAGTCATTCCAATTTATTTTTCTCCATTTATTGTTGTAAGTTGTTCGCTTTTAGCCATAGCCATCATTCCAATGAATAAAAGAAATGCTAGAATCTTAGCACAGTTTTACAAATTTACTAACTTTCTTCACTAAGGTATTTCAGGAGGTTGAATATGATATCGTGTAAGGCTTTCAATAGAGTTCCACATCAGAGGCTATTGAGGAAACTTAAGGCACACAGAATAAGAGAAACTTTTTCCTGGGCAGAGGTATGGTTGACAAATAGACAGCAGAGAGTTTGCATAAATGGGGAGAAATCAGAATGGGGGCACGTCACAAGCTGTATTCCACGGGGGTCAGTGTTGGGCCCGTTGTTGTTCACAATTTACATAAATGACATAGATGAGGGAATAAATAGCGACATAAGTAAATTTACTGATGACTCCAAAATAGTCCATCCAATTCATTCTAATGAGGACACTAGAGCACTCCAGGATGATTTGAATAGACTGATGCAATGGTCGGAGAAGTGGCAGATGCAGTTTAATATTGACAAATGCAAAGATCTAAATGTTAGACAGGAAAATAACCATGCCACATAAAAAATAAATAATGTAGATTTTAATATTACGGATTGCAAAGAGGATTTAGGATTTCTGGTTAGCAGTAATCTAAAACAAAGACAACAGTGCATTAGTGTTCACAATAAAGCTAACAGAATCCTTGGCTTCATATCTAGAAGTATAAATAATAGAAGTCCTCTGGTTGTTCTTCAACTCTATATATCCTTGGTTAGGCCTCATTTAGACTATGCTGCTCAGTTCTGGTCACTGTATTACAGAATGGATGTAAATGCACTGGAAAACGTACAGAGGAGAATGACAAAGATGATCCCATGTATCAGAAATTTTCCCTATGAGGGTAGACTGAGGGCCATGAATCTGCACTCTCTAGAAAAGAGTAGAATTAAGGGGGATATGATTGAGGTGAATAAATGAAAAACAGGAATTAATAAAAGGGATGTAAATAGTGTGCTAGAAATATCTAGCATAGACAGGACTCGCAGCAATGGTTTGAAGTTGGAAAACTTCAGATTCAGGAAGGATATAGGGAAGCACTGGTTTGGTAATAGAGTTGTGGATGAGTGGAACAAACTCCCGAGTACCATTAGAGAAGCTAAGTTGTTGTGTAGTTTTAAAAATAGTTTGGAAAAATACATGAGTGGGTCTGGGTGGGTGTGAGTTGGACCTGACTAGCTTGTGCTACTAGGTCAGATGCTGTGCTCCTCCCTGAAGTGAATGTGACTGACCTGACTAGGTTAAGGCATTGGCTTAAGCCGGTGGGAGACTTGGACCTGCCTCGCATGGGACAGTAGGCCTGCTGTTTATATATACATATGTATATATATATATATATATAAATATATATATAATATATATATATATATATATATATATATATATTATATATATATATATATATTTTATATATATATACATATATATATATACCATCCGACTTACGACCTGCTCGACTTACGACCACTCGACTTGCGACCTTGTTTTTTGTGCCAAATTTCTGGGAAATAAACAACTATTTGTGTTGTATCCTAAACCTTACAGCATAAAATACAGTACTAACAGCATAAAAAGTAAAGTAAAACATGAAATACCAAAATAAAACGTTAAAATAAAGTCATTACAAAAATGTTTTGTTGATATTCAGTAGTAAACTTCGACTTACGACTATTTCGACTTACGACCAGTTTCTCGGAACCGAACTCGGTTGTAAGTCTGATGCAGTGGTCCCTCGTTTTTCGTAATTAATCCGTTCCTGGAGGAGTTACTAGAAACGAAATTTACGATTTGCGAATCAATTTTCCCCATAAGAAATAATGTAAATTCAATTAATCCGTTTCTGACACTCAGAAGTATTAAAACAAAAAAATTTTTTACATGAAATATACATGTAGTACATAAACAATACAATGGGAAATGATGAATGAAACATTAACAGCATAACACTTACCTTTATTGGAGATTCTTCTTAGTGTATGGGAGACTGGAGGAGGAGAGAGATTGGATTGTTTACAGTTTGGAAAGGGAATCCCCTTCCAGCACTGGACAAATAATAATTTTTAAAATTTCTTATTTCTTGGGTAGAATAGCTTGTTGGTGGGTTGTGTGAAGGACCTGTCTAGTTGGGCCGGCAGGCCTGCTGCAGTGTTCCCTTTCTTATGAGTCGCACGTCAGGTGTTTAACTGTTGTGGGATCTGAGTGTGGTGTTGGCTAGACCCCTTATATACCTTCCTTTGATGCTTTACTTTCATAGTTCCTTGATAATGTGAGTAGTCACGAAAGTGCTTGGAATTTCTCTATTCTTTCACAGTGGCTGTTTTGCATATTCTGAAATCACCTGTTTACTGTGATCTTATTGCATATATATATATATATATATATATATATATATATATATAATATATATATATATATATATATATATATATATATATATATATATATATATATATATATATATATGGATTTGTCAGTTAAAAATAGGAGAGGAGAGTTATTAAATGGAGAGTTAGAGGTATTGGGAAGATGGAGGGAATATTTTGAGGAATTGTTAAATGTTGATGAAGATAGGGAAGCTGTGATATCGTGTATAGGGCAAGGAGAAATAACATCTTGTAGGAGTGAGGAAGAGCCAGTTGTGAGTTTTGGGGGAAGTTCGTGAGGCAGTAGATAAAATGAAAGGGGGTAAGGCAGCTGGGATTGATGGGATAAAGATAGAAATGTTAAAAGCAGGTGGGGATATAGTTTTGGAGTGGTTGGTGCAATTATTTAATAAATGTATGGAAGAGGGTAAGGTACCTAGGGATTGGCAGAGAGCATGCATAGTTCCTTTGTATAAAAGCAAAGGGGACAAAAGAGAGTGCAAAAATTATAGGGGGGATAAGTCTGTTGAGTGTACCTGGTAAAGTGTTATGGTAGAGTTATTATTGAAAGAATTAAGAGTAAGACGGATAATAGGATAGCAGATGAACAAGGAGGCTTTAGGAAAGGTAGGGGGTGTGTGGACCAGGTGTTTACAGTGAAACATGTAAGTGAACAGTATTTAGATAAGGCTAAAGAGGTCTTTGTGGCGTTTATGGATTTGGGAAAAGGCGTTATGACAGGGTGGATAGGGGGGGAATGTGGCAGATGTTGCAGGTGTATGGTGTAGGAGGTAGGTTACTGAAAGCAGTGAAGAGTTTTTACGAGGATAGCGAGGCTTAGGTTAGAGTATGTAGGAAGGAGGGAAATTATTTCCCAGTAAAAGTAGGCCTTAGACAAGGATGTGTGATGTCACCGTGGTTGTTTAATATATTTATAGATGGGGTTGTAAGAGAAGTAAATGCGAGGGTCATGGCAAGAGGCGTGGAGTTAAAAGATAAAGAATCACACATAAAGTGGGAGTTGTCACAGTTGCTCTTTGCTGATGACACTGTGCTCTTGGGGGATTCTGAAGAGAAGTTGCAGAGATTGGTGGATGAATTTGGTAGGGTGTGCAAAAGAAGAAAATTAAAAGTGAATAAAGGAAAGAGCAAGGTTATGAGGATAACAAAAAGATTAGGTGATGAAAGATTGGATATCAGATTGGAGGGAGAGAGTATGGAGGAGGTGAATGTATTCAGATATTTGGGAGTGGACGTGTCAGCAGATGGGTCTATGAAAGATTAGGTGAATCATAGAATTGATGAGGGGAAATGGGTGAGTGGTGCACTTAGGAGTCTGTGGAGACAAAGAACTTTGTCCTTGGAGGCAAAGAGGGGAATGTATGAGAGTATAGTTTTACCAATGCTCTTATATGGGTGTGAAGCATGGGTGATGAATGTTGCAGCGCGAGGAGAAGGCTGGAGGCAGTGGAGATGTCATGTCTGAGGGCAATGTGTGGTGTGAATATAATGCAGAGAATTCATAGTTTGGAAGTTAGGAGGAGGTGCGGGATTACCAAAACTGTTGTCCAGAGGGCTGAGGAAGGGTTGTTGAGGTGGTTCGGACATGTAGAGAGAATGGAGCAAAACAGAGTGACTTCAAGAGTGTATCAGTCTGTAGTGGAAGGAAGGCAGGGTACGGGTCGGCCTAGGAAAGGTTGGAGGGAGGGGGTAAAGGAGGTTTTGTGTGCGAGGGGCTTGGACTTCCAGCAGGCATGCGTGAGCGTGTTTGATAGGAGCGAATGGAGACAAATGGTTTTTAATACTTGATGTGCTGTTGGAGTGTGAACAAAGTAACATTTATGAAGGGGTTCAGGGAAACCGGCATGCCGGACTTGAGTCCTGGAGATGGGAAGTACAGTGCCTGCACTCTGAAGGAGGGGGTGTTAATGTTGCATTTTAAAAACTGTAGTGTAAAGCACCCTTCTGGCAAGACAGTGATGGAGTGAATGATGGTGAAAGTTTTTCTTTTTCGGGCCACCCTGCCTTGGTGGGAATCGGCCAGTGTGCTAATAAAAAAAAATAATATATATTTAAAATGGTTTACTGTAAATTAAATATACATGGAAACCTCGATTTCACGAGTGTCTAAGCATATCATTCATCCCGTTGAACATGATGAACGACATCTCTTAGGTAACCCAGCGGAGATGTACTTCTTCGGCACACAACTTGTTATGAACTTACTGGGATTCATCCCGGGTTGTCTCTTCATTAGTCAAGTCATCACACCAATATTCTACCAACTTAAACTCGTCTCAATCACTGAGGTCAGTTAATTAATCTATATTTATTTTCCTTTCTTTTTTATGCTAAATTGTTTAATTAAAATACCGGTAGACTTTCAATGAATGTATGTCTATCTACTGAATATAATAATTGTTGGAATGTCCTGCAGTATCTTCAAGTGAGGTTTGAATCACGATTGCTGAGAACCCTGGGAACTTTGTGTCTGCTGTTATTTAACTTCATCTACATGGGCTTGTGTTTATATGCTCCAACTTTGTCACTGTCTATAGTCACTGGTCTCTCTACGTCCACATCGATACTCATCCTGGGCTTCGTATGCACATTCTACATTACAATTGTGAGTATGACAACCAGACTAAATATTTATTTTCCATATATAAAAATTGTAAAAGATATTAAATATAATAATTTGTTGAACATAGAAATTGGGTGAAAATGTAATTTAAACTAAGCAAAAATTTTTAAGTAATTTTTTGCATATATATTATTAACTGAGATGGCCAGCTTATGTGATACTTCCTCTGTTAACTTTTTATCACCTGTGTCAGTTAGATTTATTAATACAGACATGTATTATCGATATGATATCCATAATTATAAAACCATAACAATTATTTTGAAAGTTGGCCGAATTTATTGAAAAGGAAATGTTATGATTACAGGTCTGTAATTGGCGTAAATAATTTATTCTCTCATGTGAAGTATGATTTTGATGAATGGATTAGGTGAATGTGTGAGGCTGGGGCTAAATAATTATATCTTGCAGAATACTGATAATTTATTTATAAAATAATTAAAAATAATTCTCTAACCAAGGAATGCCGTTAAATAAACTATGGATTAGATTTTTGCCACAGAAGCGGCTAGTTTATTGGTCACCGCACATAAATTCTGTGGCGGGTAGAGCAAGAACATATGGATACGAAATAGAACCAGGAGCTACACCCCAAAATGGTTTACGGAATTCCATCTGTATTTATATTTACAGTTCATTTATTTGTTGCAGTCAAATTTAAGATACTTGCTTAATATATGTAGTATCTTATTTTCAATAATAAGTTACCGTCACATATCACATAGGTTATGATACCATCTCTATATTTCTCAGTAAGTGTAAATGAAGTACATAGTATCCCAAGTTAGTGACTATAGGGTTGGCCACACACTTTTCTATTGGTTTAATTAACATCTGACTGTCTTCATATTAGAGGCCTGGGTTAGCCTAGATGGCAAAGCATCAGACTGTCAATTTAGAACCCGAGGTTCGAACCTCTCGTCCACTCTTTTGTTTAGTCATTGACAGTTGTTTATTACAACTTAATTTGAGTTCATAGATGATGTGGCCATCGGGAGGGGGAGCAAAAATAGTGACTACAGTTTAAATACTTTCATCGCATTTCTCTTATGTTTGAAGGCAACAATATAATGAAAATAGAGATGATTGGAAATTTTGGACGCCATCTTGAATTCCTGCTACTGCAAGGTGAATTTTCGTGGACTCTTGATTATTTATAATACTTCTATGTTTGTTTCCTGAAAAAAATCAGCATATCAACAATTTTTTTTTTAGTTTGTTTGACCTATTATTCTTGGACTAACAATGATGAAGAAGTAACGATGTTTGCATCACATTTCTGTCCCTCAGGAAACTGGAAAAGCTGCACACTACGTTACTGATATAATTGTGTCTCACAGGGAGGTGTGAAAGCTGTTATTTACACTGATGTGCTACAGACGCTGATTTTGCTCATCGGGATGCTGCTGGTTGTGATCATCTGTACCACTGATGTTGGTGGTGTTGGTAGCGTCTGGTCCATCGCTGAAAGAGGAGGTCGCATCATATTGTTTGAGTGAGTCTTTTAACAGTGCTCTTAGATCATCCTTTATTTAGTGTTAACTAATACATGAACACAAGTTTTTCAAGAACATTTGAATATATACGTCATCAAATACAAAATATATTTAATAACTTGAGATTCAACTGGAGATCTTTCACAAAACTTAAAATGCTTTAATTTTCCTTAACTGAGCCTCTGAACACCTGTGCTTAATGACATTCTAAGTAATTAAATCATTCTTAAAAATGATGAATCAAAATATATAAGGTTTAACAGTCAAACTAATTACTAGTTATTTAATGGAAGGATATTGTTTAAAACACTTCGTCAGAGTTCTCAGGCGTCTACCTCGATTTATAATTATAATTAAAATTCGTGCACAGACGAGGAATAGTTTGTCTTTAATTTAAACATTTGTTTAATCCAGTAACAAAAAAATGTTGAAAGAGATAACCGTAGAAATTCATTCATTTAAAATAAGAATTTGAGAAGATGTCACATTCGCTTATTATAATTCTTCATGAATATTGATATCTACTTCTTTCGACTTTAAACTAATACATTCTTATAAATACTCACTGTATTAGAATACATTAATAAGTTAATCACTCATTATTACCCTAATTTTATTACAAAACTATTAAAAATTATCTATTTTTTGTCTAATTTAGACAAAAAAAAAGTACTACGATTTTAAAAAACCTGAATGACTGATGATTAATAACAATTCAGAAACTGAGTTAAAACACTACCAGTAAAATGTTGAATAATTAAATAAAGCACCACAACAAGCATAATTTTTTCAACAAGACTTCACGAGATTTTTCTCGGTATCTTCTAAGAAAGTTAAACGTTAGTTCATTATATTTCAGGAGAATTTCCTAATAGTAAGAAATACATTTCCATCGCTGTAGGATTTGAGATATATATTCTTATTCCATAATTCCAGTTTTCTGTACCTCAGTGTAAGCCAAAGGTGTAGTACCTGTATCACAAACCATAAATAAAAAAAAGGAACAATACTGTGACTGGAACGATACACTTATAACCCGCACATAGAAGAGAGGAGCTTACGATGACATTTTGGTCCGACTTGGAACACTTTGTAAATGGTCCAAGCCGGACCGAAACGTCGTTGCAAGCTCCTCTCTTCTATCTGCAGGTTATTTGTGTATCTCAAACGATCAATACTGGAAGATCTGGAACTCAGTTTCCTTAAGAGACGTAGAGCAAATTTCCTCTTGGTAAAACATCTCTAAAATAATAATACATGATACACATGTGTCCTTGTGTTTTATCAGGTCTCCCTGACGGGGCACCTTTAAGTGTTTTATCAGGTCTCCCTGATGGGGCACTTTTAAGTGTTTTATCAGGTCTCCCTGACAGGGCACCTTTAAGTGTTTTATCAGGTCTCCCTGATGGGGCACCTTTAAGTGTTTTATCAGGTCTCCCTGACAGGGCACCTTTAAGTGGTTTATCAGGTCTCCCTGATGGGGCACCTTTAAGTGTTTTATTCAGGTCTCCCTGATGGGGCACCTTATAAGTGTTTTATCAGGTCTCCCTGACAGGGCACCTTTAAGTGTTTTATCAGGTCTCCCTGATGGGGCACCTTTAAGTGTTTTATCAGGTCTCCCTGATGGGGCACCTTTAAGTGGTTTATCAGGTCTCCCTGACAGGGCAGCTTTAAGTGTTTTAACAGGTCTCCCTGATGGGGCACCTTTAAGTGTTTTATCAGGTCTCCCTGATGGGGCACCTTTAAGGTTTATCAGGTCTCCCTGACAGGGCAGCTTTAAGTGTTTTAACAGGTCTCCCTGACAGGGCACCTTTAAGTGGTTTATCAGGTCTCCCTGATGGGGCACCTTTAAGTGTTTTATCAGGTCTCCCTGATGGGGCACCTTTAAGTGTTTTATCAGGTCTCCCTGACAGGGCACCTTTAAGTGTTTTATCAGGTCTCCCTGATGGGGCACCTTTAAGTGGTTTATCAGGTCTCACTGATGGGGCACCTTTAAGTGGTTTATCAGGTCTCCCTGACAGGGCAGCTTTAAGTGTTTTAACAGGTCTCCCTGATGGGGCACCTTTAAGTGGTTTATCAGATCTCCCTGATGAGGCACCTTTAAGTGGTTTATCAGGTCTCCCTGATGGGGCACCTTTAAGTGTTTTATCAGGTCTCCCTGACGGGGCACCTTTAAGTGGTTTATCAGGTCTCCCTGACAGGGGCACCTTAAGTGCTTTTTCAGTCTCCCTGATGGGGCAACCTTTAAGTGGCTTATCAGGTCTCCTGATGGGGCACCTTAAGTGTTTTATCAGGTCTCCCTGACGGGGCACCTTTAAGTGCTTTATCAGGTCTCCCTGACGGGGCACCTTTAAGTGTTTTATCAGGTCTCCCTGACGGGGCACCTTTAAGTGGTTTATCAGGTCTCCCAGACAGGGCACCTTTAAGTGTTTTATCAGGTCTCCCTGACAGGGCACCTTTAAGTGGTTTATCAGGTCTCCCTGACAGGGCAGCTTTAAGTGTTTTATCAGGTCTCCCGGATGGGGCACCTTCAAGTGGTTTATCAGGTCTCCCTGACAGGGCAGCTTTAAGTGTTTTATCAGGTCTCCCTGACAGGGCACCTTTAAGTGGTTTATCAGGTCTCCCTGACAGGGCACCTTTAAGTGTTTTATCAGGTCTCCCTGACGGGGCACCTTTAAGTGGTTTATCAGGTTTCCCTGATGGGGCACCTTTAAGTGGTTTATCAGGTCTCCCTGACAGGGCACCCTCAAGTGTTTTATCAGGTCTCCCTGACGGGGCACCTTTAAGTGTTTTATCAGGTCTCCCTGATGGGGCACCTTTAAGTGGTTTATCAGGTCTCCCTGACGGGGCACCTTTAAGTGTTTTATCAGGTCTCCCTGATGGGGCACCTTTAAGTGGTTTATCAGGTCTCCCTGACAGGGCACCTTTAAGTGTTTTATCAGGTCTCCCTGACGGGGCACCTTTAAGTGCTTGATCAGGTCTCCCTGATGGGGCACCTTTAAGTGTTTTATCAGGTCTCCCTGATGGGACACCTTTAAGTGTTTTATCAGGTCTCCCTGATGGGGCACCTTTAAGTGCTTTATCAGGTCTCCCTGACGGGGCACCTTTAAGTGTTTTATCAGGTCTCCCTGACAGGGCAGCTTTAAGTGTTTTATCAGGTCTCCCTGATGGGGCACCTTTAAGTGGTTTATCAGGTCTCCCTGACAGGGCAGCTTTAAGTGTTTTATCAGGTCTCCCTGACAGGGCACCTTTAAGTGGTTTATCAGGTCTCCATGACAGGGCACCTTTAAGTGTTTTATCAGGTCTCCCTGATGGGGCACCTTTAAGTGTTTTATCAGGTCTCCCTGATGGGGTACCTTTAAGTGGTTTATCAGGTCTCCCTGATGGGGCACCTTCAAGTGTTTTATCAGGTCTCCCTGATGGGGCACCTTTAAGTGGTTTATCAGGTCTCCCTGATGGGGCACCTTTAAGTGGTTTATCAGGTCTCCCTGATGGGGCACCTTTAAGTGGTTTATCAGGTCTCCATGATGGGGCACCTTTAAGTGGTTTATCAGGTCTCCCTGATGGGGCACCTTTAAGTGTTTTATCAGGTCTCCCTGACAGGGCACCTTTAAGTGGTTTATCAGGTCTCCCAATGGGGCACCTTTAAGTGGTTTATCAGGTCTCCCTGATGGGGCACCTTCAAGTGGTTTATCAGGTCTCCCTGACAGGGCACCTTTAAGTGGTTTATCAGGTCTCCCTGATGGGGCACCTTTAAGTGGTTTATCTGGTCTCCCTGACAGGGCACCTTTAAGTGTTTTATCAGGTCTCCCTGATGGGGCACCTTTAAATGGTTTATCAGGTCTCCCTGACGGGGCACCTTTAAGTGGCTTATCAGGTCTCCCTGATGGGGCACCTTTAAGTGGTTTATCAGGTCTCCCTGACGGGGCACCTTTAAGTGGTTTATCAGGTCTCCCTGATGGGGCACCTTTAAATGGTTTATCAGGTCTCCCTGATGGGGCACCTTTAAGTGTTTTATCAGGTCTCCCTGACGGGCACCTTTAAATGGGTTTTTCAGGTCTCCCTGACGGGGCACCTTTAAAATGGCTTATCAGGTCTCCCTGATGGGGCACCTTTAAGTGGTTTATCAGGTCTCCCTGACGGGGCACCTTTAAGTGGTTTATCAGGTCTCCCTGACGGGGCACCTTTAAATGGTTTATCAGGTCTCCCTGATGGGGCACCTTTAAGTGGCTTATCAGGTCTCCCTGATGGGGCACCTTTAAATGGTTTATCAGGTCTCCCTGATGGGGCACCTTTAAGTGGTTTATCAGGTCTCCCTGACGGGGCACCTTTAAGTGGTTATCAGGTCTCCCTGATGGGCACCTTTAAGTGGTTATCAGGTCTCCCTGATGGGGCACCTTTAAGTGGTTTATCAGGTCTCCCTGACGGGGCACCTTTAAGTGGTTGTCAGGAATTTTTCCTTTTTTTATCTTCATGTTTTCTTCCTCCAGATTTTCTCTTTTTCTGTCGCAATTAACTCGAGAAGCCTCGTCTAATTGGTGTTAAAATTTTCGGCCCTTGTGTACAATATGAAGGATCAGATTTCTGAAACATTTGGAATATACAATATGCCCGATGCTCAAAGTTGTTGAACCCATAATGGACGTCCTGGAATGGCACAGATATCTTCCATTATTTTTATTATAATATATTTAAGAGTTAAACACGGAGGGTCGACGTCGGATAGAGCAGTTCAAGTGTACAGAGTCAGAGTTGACTATTTTATGAGGAAAATAATATGGAAATTTTGTTCCCTTCAATTTACATTAAATAAATTTCCATTTACTTCTGAATTTAGTAGCTGATGCAACTTACAATCATGATAGTAGTTATTAAGTTTTGTTTGTGTGAAGGAAAATTTGCCATGCCCAGGCCTGGAACGTGAAAGTGGGTCCTTAGTTAGGTCAATAAGTCTGGGACCCTTTTCTTTAAGGAAACATGTGACATTCTCTCCCCATGAATCG